AGAAATCTGGCTTTTAGATGAAATCTCCTTTTTTAAATGTTGGCAATTGACTCAAAAACTGTGAAAGCACGAGATAGCCAAAAAAACAACCTGATGGGGCAGATTTGGCCAGGCAACCACCAGCTTTGGACTAGTTAGATTAATGCTTGGGGTTATGTGTGCTTGTCTGGTTCCAGCCCCGTTTCTCTAGACCAAATGGCCCACATGAATAGATGGTCCAGGGTTGGGGGAGGAGCACATGCCATGGATTCTGACAAACCTCAGTTCAAATCCTAGGTCTGCCCACTCACTGTGTAACCCAGGACAAAACTCTATAGAATCAGAGGACTGGTTCCTGCTGGGTTAGGTTGTTTTACAGATAAGGAGAGATATTATGTGAATGGGGTCTGCTCCTTTATGTGTAGTGTTTTTTATGGCTCTATCATCATTCTTCAGCAGAAGCCAGTTAGTGATAGCTGTGCAAACACAGGAGCGTGCAGAAGAGAGACCTCTACCTCAGTGTTCTCAACCTGCACTGCCTTAGATTTATCTAGAAAACATTTAAAAGAATATCAAAGCCAGACTCTACTCTTAAAGATTCTAATTCAGTTGATCTAAGACAGAGCCTGGGCAGCACTATTTTTAAAAGCACCTCCCTTAGTATTCTAATTCTAAATGCTTTAGATTCATAATCTCATTTAATCCCATCCTTCCAACAATCCTAGAAGGTATTATTCTCATTTTATGAATGAAGAAGTGAGGCTCAGCGGCTAAATAACAGACCAGGGTCACCCAGCTGGTGAGGAAGGAGATCAGACTCAACCTGAGAACCTGAATTCTTAACTCCCATGCCATTTAGCACTACTGTACTGTGGACCAAAAAAAAAAAAAATTCTATGAAAAGTAATCTCATAGGGTGATCTCATCATAAATTCCTAACTGGGCAGGTCATGGTGGTTAGTCACGCCCCAGGCATAACTTTTTAGTAAAAGGTTTATCTTTGCCTTAAGCCAGCCCTGTTCGTTTTTTTGTACATCTAGGATGGTTAACACACCTTTGAAATAACTATAACCACCCTCAAGAAAGCATATAATCTGCTAACTATCCTATAGTCTAAAATCCCTGTCTTGCTTTGTTTCACCTCCATGTTATCTTCCTTACATTCCTTTCTTAATTTCAAATGCATAAAAGAAGTGACAAAACTTGTTTTTCTCCAGAGCATTTGAGATCTTGCTCCCTGGCATATGTCATCAGTTTGGCTCAAGTAAACTCTTATAAAAAGTCTCTACAGATTTGGATGTTCTTACGTCCACAGTACCTACCTCCTAAGGTCTTTGTGAGACTTAAAACACTGCAAATAAAGTGCTTAGGTCAGGGACTGGAATATATTCAGTGACAAATGAAAGTTAGCTATCATCATTAGCTCATAACACCAAAACAGAGATTCCTTCCCACTTTCTCTTAATTATGCAATTCCTTCTCAAGCAACCTGGATCCTTTTTTGGATCCCCTACTTTTTTCTTCCTATACACACACATAGCTGCCCTCCAAATGAACCGTAGGGCAGTCACTGTAATGACCTGGGGGAGGCTGAATTGGGTTCATTCAGAACAGGCTTCCTCAAGCTACTGGGCCATGTGAATTATTTTGAGCTGAAGGCAAGAATCTAAATTGGGGGAGCCTTTCCCATAATGAGAGTTATCACCACAGATAAACTTTTATGACCTATCTATAGGGCAGGACAAACTTCCAGTTACTGAGTATCTGTTCTTATCTTCTTGAGAATGACCTTCTTCCCCTCTGAAGCCCCAGGTGCCATACCTCATCCCTTCCTTAGCTCAGGATGCCTTATATACCTCATTTTCCCTTTCTGTCTCTGAACCTCTCATGTATGTGGGCTTCCCACACATATGTTAATTAAATCTGGTTCTTTTCTCTTGTTAATCTGTCTCCTATAGATTTAACTATTAGACTAGCTGAAAGGACCTAGAAGGGTCAGGTTTCTTCTTCCCTCACAAGGCTCTGACAGGATGTATAGCGCCTAAAGGAGGAAAAGAGGAAGGGAGAAGACAGGAGCCCCAGAGACCCTTGAGAGGGTGGTGATGAAACCTGCGTGGAATGATGTCCTGAAAGACAAGCCAAAGCTCAAGTGTTCAGTAAGTGTTTTTCATGTAAGTAGTTTGCTGAGGAGTGGGGGAGTCAGAGAAAGGGACTAATGAGGGTGTCAGACAGAGGAAAAGGGGCAGCTATAGACCTGAATATCGGGGATCCTTTCTTTCCAGCTGAGTCACATACTTTGTTTGGAGGCTTATACTGTATTTGCGTTTCCGGGCTTCATTGTTGAGATGGATGTAGAAGCGAACCCAAGAGGGAAATGAACACTTTGCTTACAGGCACTGGGCTCGGTCCCTAGTATTAGGGTTCTGGGATCAGAGGGAGTATGGAGCTGACCTAGGTGCAAGGAGGACTGTGCAGGGATACAAGTGCTGAGTGGTGGCTTCCTCAGAGGCAGAGCCCTGGCATCTACTGCCACTCCCCTCGGAAACAGATGTTTGAAATGGTGAATCTACTCACCTTGTTCGGGTGAAACATTAAAAAAAATTTTTTTCTTCTAGTAAATGAATTTACAAAATGGAGTGGATGATTCACACCTTAAATCATGTGGAAAAAAAATCATGTAGAAATAAACAGGGTATTATAAGTAGGGCAAGTTTTGACCAAAAATTCTATCTCAACTATAACTTACTCAGCTTTACTATACTAAAAAGTTGATAAGAAAAGGTGGGAGGAAGAAACGGAAAAGGACCAAGGAGGCCTTTAAGATCACAATTTCAGGCCGAAAGAGAACTATCAGAGATTCAGCCTCTGTGTTTCAAAGGTTTGCCATAGGGACAAATTACAAAGGAAAATTCTGTGGATAAGATGCACATTTACCAAGGTGACTGTTTATAGTCACTGCCATTTGAAGTTTTGATGCTCAATTCATTTGAAACTTACCCAGCACTATATGTAATTTGTCTTGTACTGTTTTTAAACTTTTGAAATACTGAACTTTTAAAATACTGTTATGTCTTATTCCCCCCAACTAAGACTATAAGTTCTTTGAGAGAAATGGCTGTATCATGCCCCCCCCCCCCCATTCTTCACCAAGAGGGTCACAAGGAACTCAGTTATCTCCTGGGTCTTTAACGCCTCCATTTTTTTTGAATGCCCTTGGGCTATGCATTCTAAAAATGGACACTCGACATCACGTTTTTAGTGAAAATCTAAGGACCAAGAGTCCAGCCAGTGTAAACACATTCTTTCTACTCTTCACTTTAATGATTGCTTAGATTTAGAGAGAGAAAAAGGGTGGATTTCTTTTAGTTTAAGTATTAAAAAGAAACAGCTGAGAGTTCTTTGGATTTCATGCGGTTATCAGGGTGCAAAGCCCTGGGTGATCTGGCTTTCGGTTATTGGTGCAAAGCTGAACACCAGACTCAGGGTAAAATGCGCTAGCTCCCCCTTCCCCCACCCCCATGGGCACTTGAAGTGAGAGTTGTCTTATGCATTAAGGTATGTCCTGCCAGGCCATCAACCAAATGCAAACTCAGGGCTTCTCAGCGGGGCAGGCCCACAATGAAAGGAGAGGACCCGCACGCAGAGGAGCAACCCCCAGAAAGCAGTCCGAGACTCCTTCCCCAGAGAACCCCTTACAAAGAGAACCCCTTACAAAGACAGCCCGAAGTAGAAGCTCATTTGAACGTGGGCATAGCTGTAAGCCGAAGAAACGGGGACATATGGACTAGGAACATTAGGAGCAAGGGAGCGAGGGCACAAACTACAGGGTGAGAGTCCACCTCGCGGCCAGAATGTTGTGTGCCAGTGAGTACGTGAGCGTCTGAAATCTGCTCCGGAACTGGTGGCCGCAACAGCCTGGTCTGGCACTGCCTCCAGGTGGTAGAGAAGCTGGTGGCTTTATTTCCGGAACGTGAATGAAGGAGCCAAGCCCGGGCTCAAAGAAGACAGTGTTCCGCGGCGGGAACACCTCATCCACGTTGAGGCTTGGGCAGAGCGCGAAACCCGCAAAGAGTCTTTCCGTCCCGAGCCGCCGACTGCATTGGAAGCCCGCAGTGGGAAGAGCCTCGCTGGCCTGGAAGCAGCGCCATGGGAAGCCGTGGAGCGGGCCCCGCCGCGTCCCCCAGCCAGCTCCAGCGGCCCCAAGCGCCAGCCACTCTGCAGTGCAGCCAGCACAACATTCCATTTGAAAATAACACCCACGTGCGCTGGTAAACAAGCGCGAGCGGTTGGCGGTGCCGCGCGTCCTGAGCGAGCCTGCGCGGCGCGCTCCCGCCCTCCTCCCGCACGTGTCTGCCGGCTCCGCCCGCGCCGCAACAGCGCTGCCCAGGCTCCTCCCCCTCGGGGGCTGCGTACCGCCCCTGAGCCTCGAGCTCCGCGGCTCCCGGGCCCTAGAGCGCCCCGCAGAGTGCTCTCCAACTTTCCTCTCCCGACGCCACCTCATCGCGGCGGGACCCATCGCCCTAGGTCGGCTCCCTCTCCTCACCACCCTTTCTCATGTCTTCCTCCTATTAACTCTCCCTCCGTCAGCGTGCGAAGGATTGGCTTCTGGTTTTCCTCCCTCCCTCTCCTCCTTACAATTTTACTCGATTGTTTATTATTTGCTGGGGGGCGGGGGCGGAGAGGGGCGTCTGGGGCCTGGAGACTAGTGGCCGCGGCCAGTCAGCTCGCGGCGTGGCTTTACGTGTGAGCAGCGCGGCGAATGGCGACGCGGCGCAGAGCTCCCGGGTCACGCGCGTGTGGATACAATGACATCATCTGTTTGTACGCGTCGATCTAGCTTGGTGCAGGGGCGGGGCCGTGCGTCACTTGAGTGACGGGCCCTGCGCAAAGCCCGGAGCCTGGAGTCAGCCGGGTGGGCGGACTTCTGCATACGCTGGTTGGACCTTTTTGTGTATCCGAGTGTTGCGGAGCCCGCTCTAGACTCAGGTATCTCCAGTGACTTGGAAAGATTAAAAAAAAAAAAAAAAGGGTACTGATAAAAGTGGATAGAGTTTTGGTGTGCGTGTCGCATGTAGTGTGCATTCCTTACTGCACAAATGATTGATTTGGCATCTGCTCATTGGATAAGGACTTCTAAAGATGTTTTTCTAAACCTAAAGTTGGTTTTTTAAGTCAAAAATGCAAAAATAGACGTTTGCCGTCATTTACAAATTAAAATCAAATTATTTTCCATTCACAACTGTTCAAAATCTGCTCTTGCGTTTAGGAATGTGAATAATTTTTTTTCCACGGAGTTACATTTCTCCCCGTTTGCCATGAAACCTATGAAAAGTGACACGATTGCGGTCGAGCGTCCTGGGTAAGGCTCAGTGCAAACCTCTTAGTGCCTGATCAGATCTGAGGGCATCAGCTTGTCGAAGTCCTGAAGGCACCAACATCTTCGTTTGTCTGTGTTTCCACGCCGAGGTAACCCTTGCCATCTGCGGTCAGCATCTTTTCTCGGGTGTTACCTGGTGTCCGGTTCTAATGGGGAACCCAACACCAGGGCGGGTCCAGAGCCTGGCGAACGGACGTGCTTGCCGGGGACCCCAGGAGCCAGGCGTCCAGCCCCGAGTCAAGGAGGCCACGCGACTGCGCTCGTGGAGCGTTTGAGGCTCTGCGCTCCCCACTCCCTCTTCTCCTGGGCCCTCGCCGCGCTTTGTTGTCGTTGAGGCTCTCGGGAGAGAGGAGGAGCCCGGAGGGGACAGTTGCGGGAGCCCGCCGAGTCCCGGGCTGCTGCGCGCGCCCTGACACCCACGCCCGCAGCCCCGCCGAGCCGAGTCGCGCAGGCGCGCGCGCGAGCGCACGCACACACACCCGGACACCAGCACACCAGGGCCCGGTGCCCAGCCCTCCCTCTGGGCGGGGATCCGCCCGCCCGCCCGCCGTCAGCTTAGGTTGAGGCACCCTGCGTGTGTCTATAACTTTGTGCTTCTGCCGCGGCCCCCCTGCTTGTGGAAGGGAGGAGGAGGAATGTGGAAGGCGGCGGCGCGCAGGCTGACAGGCGGTTCCTCAGGCGGGCTGCGGCGGCAGCCGGAGCGCCTCTCCTTCGCGGAGGTTGCACGTCCCCTCCTCGCCGTGCCCCGGGCCCGCGCGGGATTGTGCGTCCTCCCCCCTCGTCCCTGAAGGGAAGGAACCGAGGTAGGCGCCGGAGCTGTGCAGCGGGGCGGCCGCCTTCCCGGTGACTCCGGATCTGCTTCCGAGCTGGGCCAGGCGCTTCCCTTTTCCTTCCCCGTGACTCGGTGTGCGCGCCCCCTTCTCTCCCGCTAGTGTTTTTAAAGGACTTGAGTGAAGGGGGGAAAACTGTCAAGATGGCAGCAGCGGGAGCAAGGAGGTGATGAACGTGCTGGTCCGGGTTTTCTGGCGGCCCGGGAGACTTGGCGCTTCCCGACCTGTTGGAAGATTTATGTTCCGACTTGCTCCCACCCTCCGTTCTTTACTGGGAAGGGGGTGGAGGGCACAACGTCCGTGAGAAAATAAACCGCACAAAACCCCAAAGTGGCCGTTCCTGCTCGGCTCGACCCTTTGCGAACACCCGCCGAGCTGCTCGCCCCGCTTCTTTCCGTCTTTTCTTTTTTCTGGAAGTGACAAGGGCCCGTCTGCGCTCGTACCCACGTTCGCCCTCCCGGCCCGCGGGCGAAGAAGGGAGAAGGGAGCTGCCCGCGCCGTCCCCGGGCTCGGACCCTCCGTTGGGAGGGGGGATGGCAAGGGTTCGTGAAGGCGGCAGGGCCGCGGACGGGGAGAAGAGCTGAAGACGCCACAGACTTTGGCGGCGCCGCGGCGGGAAGCACTTGAGCGGGCCCGAGCGAAACATAAACAAACGCACGCTCGCCCCGCCACTGGCCCCGACCACGGCTCCGCTGCGCCAGCTCCGGCCGCAGCCCGCTTTAAAGGCGCGGCCCGCGCCCCTCCCCCGCCCCTCCCCCTTCGTCCCCGCCCAGCCACCTAGCCCAGGAGAGACCTGCAGATCTGGCGGCGGCAGCGGCTGCGTCGGCTGGGGGAGGGGGCTGCCCCGTGCGAGCCCGTCGATTCGCCCGCGTCTACCCCGCGGCCTGGCTAGGGGGCGGTGTCTGCTGCGCCAGGTTCGCGGGACACACGTCTCCAGGTCTGCCTGCTCCTGGGAGGCGGGCGCGGTGCGGTCGGGAAGCGGCGGCGGCGACGGGTGAGGACTTGCAGAGCGCTGGGCTCCAGCCCGGGGTAACCAACTCCCCCTTTCTCTCCTCTCGTGCCTCCCAGGCGGCGGCAGTAGCGGCAGCGGCGCCCGGCAGCCCGAGCCTTCGCGGCGTCCCCGTCCCTCCCCCGCCGCACCCCGCCCCGGCGGAGAGGAGAGCGCCAGAGCCAGAGCCGCGGGCGGGCGGCGAAGATGGCAGAGGCGCGGGCCTCCCCGGCCCCGCTCTCTCCACTCGAAGTGGAGCTGGACCCGGAGTTCGAACCCCAGAGCCGGCCGCGCTCCTGTACTTGGCCCCTGCAGAGGCCCGAGCTCCAGGGGAGCCCGGCCAAGCCCTCGGGGGAGGCGGCCGCTGACTCCATGATCCCCGAGGAGGAGGACGATGAAGACGACGAGGACGGCGGCGGTAGGGCCGGCTCGGCCATGGCGATCGGCGGCGGCGGGAGCAGCACGCTGAGCGCCGGGCTGCTCCTTGAGGACTCGGCCCGGCTGCTGGCTCCAGGAGGGCAGGACCCCGGTTCCGGGCCAGCCCCCGCGGCGGGAGCGCTGAGCGGGGCGACGCAGACACCGCTGCAGCCTCAGCAGCCACTGCCACCGCCGCAGCCGGGGGCGGCTGGGGGATCTGGGCAGCCGAGGAAATGCTCGTCGCGGCGGAACGCCTGGGGGAACCTGTCTTACGCTGACCTGATCACTCGCGCCATCGAAAGCTCCCCGGACAAACGGCTCACACTGTCCCAGATCTACGAGTGGATGGTGCGCTGCGTGCCCTACTTCAAGGATAAGGGCGACAGTAACAGCTCTGCGGGCTGGAAGGTGCGTACCCACCTCGGGCAGGCGGCGGGACCCGCCTGGCCTTCTGCGCATTGCGAGACGCGCCTTCGATACGCGGAGCGCGCCTACTGGCGCGGGGGGAAAGGGTTAGCAGAGAGCCTCCGCCGTGAGGCTTTGGGTGTTCTTTGTGGCCCCGGGAGGAGGAGAACCTGGGGATGGCCGCGGGGGTGGGGGAATAGGCTTCCTGGGAAGTTTTGGCCGTGGCCAGGTGCGGAGAGGGGGCCAGGGACTCCGGTGAGGGAAGGACAGACGGACAAGAGTGCATTTGCTGGATTCCCGGGACAGTGCGCAGGAGGTAGGTCCGAGGCCAACTTTGGAGTAGAATTCACTGTAGTGGGGGTGCGGTGAGGACGCTGCGGGTTGAGTGAGGGGACGCGGGGCGAGTGTTTGAGACTCGCTGCCGGGAGGAGGGTTTGGATTTGTGGTTTCCAGTCGGTCGCAGGAGCAAGGTGCGTTGTCACTAGCTGGATGAGAACCCGTGGGTCCAAGTTTCGGGCTTGTGGGTGTTAACTCCCACACGCGTAAAGATCTTATTAGAAAAAGCAGTGGTTGCAAACCTTTTTCTGGTTGGCTCTCTGTTAACACCTTTGTTACTCAGAGATGTCTCTTAAGTAAATCTGCCCCCAGTAGCCTCTGAGATGTTCTGGGGACTGGAACGGGCCAGCTCTGCCAGTTCAATGCCGTCTGGCCTCACCTGCTGCTCCCGCTGAGGCCTGGACTGGGTCGTTGTTTGAGGCTGGGTCCAGGTGTGAAGGACTCGCGGTCTGACGCTTCACTTAGGCCTTTCGGGTAGACGATTGGTGGCAGGGCTGGGCCGTAATGGCTTCTACCAGTAAGTGAACCTGAAGAGAGGCTGTCTACTGTTCTTTTCAGCCTCTTGGGGCACTGGACACGTGGTAGGGAGAGAGGTGTGGAAAGGCCTATGATGTAATGACTTCCTGCAGTTGGGCATCCAAAGAGATTAGCTCCTGTGCCCCTGCTGATACCCAGCTGCTTTGCTCTTCCTGGCACCTCATCCTCCTGGCCCCTTCCCCCAAGATATGAATGTGTCAATACCAGGCAAAAAAGAGTTCTGCGCAGTTGGAGATATACACCGCTTATCAGTTGCTTCTATTTGCAATTAGCTTTTTTTTTTTTCCTTTTTAATTGAAGAGGTAGTTGCTTCCTCCTTCTGTCCTTTCCATTATTGTCTTTGGGGAGCCCTGTATCTTCCTGAGTTCCAGTAGGTGTATAAAATAAGAACAGTATGACCTTAGTGGAGAGCTGAAGCACGGAGAAGAGACTATGAAAAGCTAAAGAATTTAGTGTATTGATTTTTAATTTGCTTTAAAAAAAAAAACGCCTTGTAAAGTGCCTGTTTTTTTTTTAAATTTTTTATGGCCAGTATTGAAGAAGCATTGTTTAGATTTAAACCTTGCTTAGATTAAACAAACTTGAAAAGCAAAACGTGTGCTGTGATATTCCACAAAATCTGTTTCATTTCCTTTAACAAATGCTGACATTATGAATGTTACATTTGATTTAATTTTATTGCTTTACAAAGGAATGCCAGTTGTGTGAGATGAGGGCTATTTACCGAAAGGATGAGAGTTCTATTTGAAGGCAGTGCTAATGTGATAGCTTTTAAAACAGAGTTTCCGAGAGGATAACAAGGGTTAATCTCAGTGTACAGTGTTAGGAAGGGGTGACTTTATAGGATCTAAGAAGGTGGATTTGGGGGTTTGGAATATTTTTCAGATTTCTCACACTTGAAGTTTAGTTTTGCACGTTTTGAATTTGGTGCAGAGAATCTGTTAATTAAAAGTTAACTAACTTTTAACTTAGTAAAAAAAATTAATGTAGGAAGGGTTTTCACCTTTCCTATGATTTGTAAGATTACAAAAGTAACTTAATTCCACAAATAACATTTCTTGCTATTGTGCTTATAGTTAAAAATGACAGTTTACTATCATTTGATTTTTTTTTTTTTAAAGATTTATGTGAGGAAGTGGTATTACCAAAAGTAGGCATGAATTGAGATTGGGCTAATTATATTTTCATGTAGCTTTTAGGATTTGCAGTAGAGATTTTGGGCCTTTACGGTTTTATGTCCTAACCATTTTTTTGATGTCATAGCTTTTTTCCTTCTCAGCTGTCTTAATCTGTCTTTAACTAAATATTGCAAATTGAAACTCTCAAGCCTTAATATGTTTAATACAGGGCACATTTTATGATTATTTCTACTTTAAATTTTTACACCAATTCCATTTCTCAGTACCACTGACAACTAATCCTTGAAGGCTATAGGGGTATAATTTAGTTATAGGGTTTTTTTGTAAGATGACCTTTATCAAAAGATGCAGCCATGCAGGAACTTGCAAATCTTTGCTGATGGAGAAGGCCCTTTGAAATGGGCTGGTGTCATATTCCTATTATGACTAATCAACCTTTTTTGTGTTTGTGGTTTAGTGGGGCCAGAAGAAGAGAGAAAAGGGAGGGGTCAGGAGCTAATTGTGACCCATGTCCATGTGTCCAAGTTTCAGGAGTTGATTCCTATCATGATTAGTCACTTTGGAAGCATGCATGTGCATTTAAACCACACTACTTTCATTTTGAGTTTTGCATTTGGGTTTTAACCTCTAAAAATGTCTAGAATTCAGGTTAATATCTCCTAGTCATGTGTGCGCATAGGCACAGTATGCAGGGTCTAGGCTTCTTTTGTGGCTGTTGGGGCCATCGCATTATGAGATTTCATAACTAGGATTATCACCCTAAGATCATAGAATGAAAGAATTAGAAAAGAGGCCTTGGAGATCAGAATCAAGACCACTGGTTCGAAGCCCTGGTTGCATATTAGAATCACCAAGAAGCCTTTAAGAAAATACCAATACCCAGAGAATCTGATTTAAATGTGCTGTTGTGTGGATTAGTGTTTGGTGGGGGTGGGGGCACGGGGGAGAGGTTTGAAGTTTCTTAGGCTATTCTAATGTACAACCAATAATGAGGTTAGCTGATCTAGCTTAAGTCACTTATTTTGTAGGTGAAGAACCTGATTCTTCAAGTTATTTAATGACTTTTCTAAGATCACACGGCTAGTTAGTACAGAGGTAATTAGTAGCCACAGTTCTAGAGGTCTTTGTTCTTAATAACACTATTTTTCTCTTTAAATTGAGCTTTTTTAAGGTCATTTACTAAGTAATGAAGTAATGAGTAGTCTTACATAAGTAGAGGTTGCTTTCCTGAAAAGCATATTTGCCTGTCAATCTAAAAATGTCTTGGTTATTATTTTAGCCCCAGAAAGATAGAGGAATATTGATGGAGGCCGAGTGAGTGCATCAGGTTGTATAGCTATGCCTCTCAGTATGTGTATTTGGGAAGTATGAAGTCATAAAGGTAGCGAAAAAGATAGCATTTTAACAAAAGGAGGACGTTCTTGGTTAATTTAACTTTTGTCAGATGCGTACTGTGCCAGGGAGAGAGGTGATGGCTATCTCACAGGTTCCCTTATCTCAGGCATTAAAGTAGAAATGAATAATCAGATGTGGTTAAGAGGGGAAAAGGTTACGTTTCCTTTAATTCGCATTAAGCTTACTTGTACTGCACCCATAGCTTACACTGGTGAGTTCTCTTGGTTCCTTCTGGGCAGACCTCTAGGACTCCAGAGTTTCCCATGTAAGGCCTATTTATCACTTATTCTCCTACACACACCCACATCTGCATTTCCCATGGGTCAGGGCATGAAGACATTAGGCAGCCATGCGTTTCTGTGGTGGGCCCCACAATTTCACAAATGTAGGATACTGTCTGACGACTTCCTCTGCTACTTCAGAGGGTAGTTCTTCAGGAGACTGAGACTTCCTTCATGTGAGAATGCACACTCGCACAGCTTCTTCCCCAGGTCAAACGATGAGGGCTGACCTGCCACATGATGAATGCTTGTTTACGTCCTCACCGTTCTAGTTTTTTAGATTAATGCATCTGGTTCCTTTTCAGCATACTGTACTAAGAAAGTGTTATTTTAACTGCAACTTTTGTGTTTAAAAATATATTTTTTTAAATTTCAAAATGACAGAGTCATCATAATTCCCTGTTGGCTCATAATCTTGACCTCAGTCACCTCTGGAGTAACTCACCAAAGGGCCAGTTATGGCCGTGGGTGAGGAATCTGTCTTCTGCTCAGCCCATGTTGCCAAAATGCTGTTTTGTAATTTCCTTTGGCAGTACTGTCTTTGTCAGTGATTCTCAACTAATATACTTCCTCTTCCAAAAGCAGCAGTACACTAGGGGGACTGTCTTTCCTCTTTTTCAAAGCTGTGTCATCGACCTACGAAGTGAAGAAATTGGCCCTTTTAGATTTTGCTCCATGAGCCCCATGTAGCAGAGAGACTCTTTAAAAAAGAAGCTAAGTTTATTTTGATATGTTTACCTCCTTTTTAGAAAATGAGATGAAACTATTTAGGACAGTTCTATTTTAAGAGAATGACACCATAGAAGAACATCTTGTCGTTAAACTTTTTAATACTCTACTTGTGATTCTTACTTAAAACCTGCAAGATATTTTTATTTGGAAAATTAATGAAGAGTCCTTTTCCCACTAAAAAGTCACGTTACTTGCTCTGGTAAAAGTTTAGCAGACTTCATCCATCCACGGATCTTGATTAAAAAATGCAAAGCTAAGACCCTTCTGCAGGCCTGTGCACTCTGGCAAGGCAGCCCACGTACCCACCACGGATGCATCAGATTCCAGACTCCCAGGGCTGGAGAGAGCACGGAATTTATGTTGTTTTCATACCCACTCATCTTGCCTGTAGGGAACAGATCTGATCCTATTATTCTTGACTCCTTATATTTATCCTCACCTTTTCTTGTATTACAAATTGAGGGGCCCTGAAGAGCCAGTTTCATTTTTTGCTGCTATAAAAGGAACTGGGGATGACATACACATAAGTAGGTATCGGGATGTTACAGCTGGGGTACACAGTAAGTGAGTAAAAGATTGGATG